ACATCTACTTTGAAAAGGAAAGAGAAGTTTCTACGTGTCGGGGATATTGATATTTAGGTATATTGAAGAAGGAGACTACTCTCTTGAGCTATTTCAGAGAAATAAGCTGTATCTTTTACATCAACAAAATTTTCGTTCAATTTTCGTAGAAAAATACCTTTACGTATTAAACCTCCAAGAAACTGAAAATAAATTGCTTATCGACATATTTTTAAGTCTGGAAATTAAAAACTAATACTTTAGTCTTGTACAAAGCTGTTACTTTTAACAAAATCCTGTTAACCTGTCACTATGCTGCATTAACTTTTCGAGACCCCTTTAGGGACTTCGACAGCAGCACCACCTTTTTCGCCACTCAACCCCCATGACAATGGCAAAAAAGTTTTAGCCCTTAAAATAAAAAAGTAGATTAAAAACACGCCGGCCCTCAAAAGATTAAGAAACTCTATTGAAATTAAAGGTGCAAGATCATATGTATCACATTATTATTGCTTCAAATATTTAAATTTTATACATTTATATAGAACATTTATTTATTAATATGTTTTAAAAGAATATTTTATACATATTCTTTTATTATTATAATTAACTTCTGGTATCAATATTTTTTCTGTTAATTATTTTTTTGAAGACATTATTTTTGTAAACAACATTTTATTTACTTCCTAGTATTGTGAAAGAAGCAAAGAAAATAAAAGTATTTATTCTTAGGAATTGTATGGCTGGGGACATATTTAGGTCTCCAACCTTACGTTTCACGATCACGTTTCTATTATACATATCTCATTTTGTTTCAGCGGAATTTCGGAACAAGATTATACTCGTAATGTTCTGAAGCCCAACCTTCAAAGAGTATAACGTGCATGAACAAGCAATATTGCATCGTCATGATTGTTTCGCGGTAGATGGGAAATTAATAGACTGATGATACTAGTAAGAATTAATGAGACTTACGAGAAGCAATTACGATTGATAACTACCTCGATGAGAGAGTAGAGGATCTAACTCACTAACGAAGCCATGTTCATCATGACACCGCATGACATTAGAAGCAAACCAATTAAGAAGTTGTTGCTTAAGTCAGTAAACAATTGAACAATTTTGCATTCCTGAATACGTTTAGTAGATAAATTTCATGTACAATTTAGGAAATGTTTAGCTAAACCTTGACCGCGACCTCTCAACTTCGAACTTAGAAGTGGCAAATTAGCGGTTTCTAAGTTCTAATTTCAATGATATGGTGTAGTTAAAGGTCAAAATGGAGTTTCGTGTTCGTGACCTAAAGAAAGATAACAAGAGTGTGGAGCGGAAGTGGCGGAAGGTGAGAGAGTAGGCTGGATAAATCATGCGGTTTATCTATGATATGATCGAGGTTGCCCTAATTAATGGAGTGCATGATAAACGATGTGATTTAAATGACCTCCTCTAGGACTAAACAAAATCTGACCGACATAATGAGAACTATATTAGTCATCTACAAAAAACAAGGCTACATTTTTCTTTTTACTTCTTTCCAACCTTTTATTTGGTACCATAAAATCGACCGCGCACTGTTCAGTAAATAACACCAGAGATTAAACGTCGCAATCAAATTTTAAGCAAATGTAATCTTGGCATGTACAATCAATATCTATATTGTGATATTTGATAATGAGTAAAAGCAAGAAGAAATTTCCTGCCTCTCGAGATATTTGAATAGAAATCCAAATCTATAATTCTCAAGATGAAACCGCAAATGCGGTCAGATGAACAGATAGTTAGACAGTTATAATGTCGATTCTAATCTTACCCATATATACCGGCGTGTGTCTTTCGTGTACGTAAACTGGAGGCATAGAAACGCCTGAGTTCACATTCGTACATGCATGTGCATAAACGCGAGTGTGCCTACGGGGTCTGCCGGTCGGTGCAACGTCGTATGCAAACTCGGACCGAACATCCCGCCTGTCTCGAGACCGGTATACGACGAACTCGTATACGTAAACGACGTAAATACCTTGGCATTCCATGATGTTGAGGCAATATGGACTACCAACTTCCTCCGGCCATATACGTTACGTACATACCGCTTGTATTCCGATAGCGTGCCAAAATGTGGGAAATGCAGATAGAGCTGTTAACTTGCACTTGCTTTTACGCGACGGGCAGTCGAGAAACGTGCGTGATAATATATGGACTCTATTGCAGAAGATGAAAACTTGTTGATAGGATGAAAGGATCTCTTCCGAACGTTCTCACGAAGACAGGGATGAGATCGTGAAAATTTTATCAACGTAACTAGATTATTCTCCTACATTCTATTCTTTAAATATATACAATTCCTTGCAGGAGGACCAGCACACTGTTCGACAATCACAAGATTCTCTTGTGAAGAAAATTTTGCTTCTTGATACGAACGGTCGTATAACGCCAAGAAATTTGAAGAGGGTTGATTATTTCTTTCACATGGATATGTAAAACGAGATTTTTCACACCGGACTAGCCGACCTACTTAGATAACAGGCACGTCGTAACTATCATTTTCTGGCAACCAGAAAATCTCGTAGGCTCTCCCGAACATGCACTAAGAGGAGAAGACGTGTTTCTACTAAAAGACTAAAACTTGATAGGACAATTTAGCTCAACGCGTGAAAGTGCTATCGACGTCTGAAATAGCAGCAATATCTCAAAATCCACTGTTTTATTAAAACAGGAAGTTTTCACGCAGTGGATTGATAAATCGACTTTATTCTTCTTTAGGATAGTTTGAACTTTATATCCTGGATTTCCGCGGCCAAACATCCAACGTTCTATATTTTGTCAGTAAATATTTTTTAAATATTGAAAAGATATATTTATTTACGCAGCGCTTTCCACTGTCATCGTTCAAAAGTACCTTTTTCTAAAGTTTTCTTCAGATAAATTTTGTCTTCATAAATAATGCCATTCCTTATCATCTCTTGTAAACGAGAACAACCTTATTTCTATGTTAGAGGATGGTAATTTTTTTTTCTTTTTTTTCTAATTCAGGTTATCTCATCTTATCGCGTAGGCTTGAGTAAACGATCAGGCACTCCCTTAAGCATAACAAAAAAAACTGCCTACGAAGCTGTTTTTCATTCAAGATAAAGGTTCCCTTTTCCTTCGCAATTGTTGTATTCAGACATTTTTTTCATGTCTAAGTACTCCCAAATGATTTATAATACGTAGCAACATTCAACAAACCGTCACGGCAAAAATATAAAGGTGGACTGACAAAAGCTGGATAAAATCGATCAGGAAAAGATGTGTCGAATCCTGCAAAAGATATCGAGAGAATAATGAGAATTTGATCTATTATCGCAACTTGGAGATGATGAAAAGTATTATAATAGATACTCGATGATTCCAAATTGTGATCAAACAATTAGTTATTTCACATAAAATATATGCACATTTGATTTTAATTTAATGCAAATGTATCACGAAAGCTCTTAATTGATAAAGTTTAACAATAATACGACAACGTAGAAAATTGATTCAATTTCGTAAGGAATCGTTGTACCGCCGCAAGAGATTAACTGCATTTCGCAATTTGTGCTGCGCTCTAACCACACCAGCTGGGCAAAGCCTTTACGTGCGCGCATTATCCCGCATTATCTGCCCCTGACGTCCGGCGATATCGCAAATTCTCGATAATCTACCGTCCGCTGTTATTACACCTACATTTCGACCACAGACAATATTCGCACCGTCAATTTTCTCATGAGACAGTACAATGCGTTCGTGCAATTGTTCTAAACTAAAAAAAAGGCAAAAGAAACATCGAATTTAAAAAGAATTCGGAATGTGTCTGCAAGGAATTTTAAAGAAATTAAAAGTTTGATTATACGGAAAGAATACCTCGAGAATAACTATTGGAGAATAACTTCTTTTTTTTTTAATTAGATGAAGGCTCTCACAAATATTTATTTGCAACTTCCGTAATTTGTCAAAATCAACATTCGGTAAAAACAAAAAATTAGGAACAGAATCTGAAACGTTTCTTGTATTTTAAACAGCTCTTTTGATATCATTAAGGCGCTTTTAATATTATTAAGAAAAAGATAACGCTCCGGTTACCATGAATTATACATCGCATATGGGAAATCCCTTCTCATATTTTCTTTGTCCCTTGAGACAGACACATTAAATATTAATGAGAAAAGTGATAATGAAGTTAAAATGTCGGTATGATCAAATATAATACGCACTATAAGATCTTTATTTCATTTTATATAATGTAATATACATCACTGTATTTAATTACAACTTTTATTAAAAACAATTATTATATCAATAATTTATGTAGTAAAAATATAATCTATTCTTTTTTTACATAAACAGTAATATCCGTTAAATATATACTATTTCGAGTATAATATTAGTAGCGTAAAAATATTCCGGGTCACGTTTGTTCACTACTTCGCGAAATAATTTAAATCCCGGGGGTAACCGAGTAAATCCAACTATGGAACGCAAAGAAATTTGATTCTTGTAAAGATTCTCTATGTTCTGCAGCAATTTTATGTCTCTGACGAGGCGCTAACATCGCCAACTGATTCCCAACGCGTGCAAATCGCACGTTGAAACTGGAGCTACGGATGCTAGCTATCGATTCCAAGCTTGCTGAGCGACGAGCGAACCAACATGCATTCCAATGCGAGAAAGATAAAAATCGTTCGTCATTCGGTTTCCCGATATAACAACTCGTTGAAGCACTCATCAAAAATGACAGCATCAATACATATTGATGAAATGCGCAACAAGACCATCCTGATTGTATTCTGTATCTCTATTACCTACGCGTAGTATAACTGTAAAATAAGAAAAAAAGACATATTCTAAAATAGAATTTGTATAAATTCAAATTGGGTTTTATTCTCCATTAATTTCGTCTTCTCTTAATTATGTGCATTTGACAGAATAGATGTTACGAATAGGATCAAAATGTAGGTATATCGAGATCTGTAAAGTCAGTTCAAAGGTGAATTTCCATTCAGTTGCAGAACAAAGGAAAATGTCGGCCGAAGTGAGAGCTGGTCGACCTACCATGCCAACGATTCCGCACTCCAAAAGGCCAACGATTTTGATATATCCGACGGGTAAGTTATAAACACCATGTTTCCAATACTAATTCTCAGTATTACGCTAAAACTAAATTCTACTTTATTATAAGAAATGTACGGCGACTTATGTCATGTTGATTGTCTTAAGAGATGCGCTAGATTCATTTTGAAGACACGGTATATTAACTGCGCGAGGGATGACGTTTAATTAGACGCTTGTGTATAAAATATTAGATCGCGCTCGCGGCAATGTTAATTACAAACGAGTTGTTGAAGCATAAGGGGTTTAAAGAGGCGGAGAGAGAGAGAGAGAGAGAGAGAGAGAGAGAGAGGAGAGAGAGAGAGAGACATCGGATTGATAATGTAATTAATGCCAGCCATTTGTTATATGGCAAATTACGAGAAACACGAATCCACTAACAAGTTAGCGATGTTAATACAATAACATAGTACTGTTATCCGATCATCATTCGCCGATGAAAGGCTTTGCCTGTTTACCATCGTGCAGTGACGTGCGAATTGTCATATATGATGTGTCTAACAAAGGACCATCTCGGTTTGTACAAGTTAGTGAAAATCCTTGATATCAATAAAAGTTGACAGCATAAGATAGTTCGTTATGAAAAAAATTTTACACAGAAAAATATCATTCTATTGCTAAAAAAGTGATTACTTAATTTATATTCTTTTCTTAAGTAATGTTATCTTTAATAAAAAATATTTTCTTAATAATGTAATCTTAAAATATATACTTATTAAAAATTTTAGAAAAATTCATTATTATGTCAAAGAATTTAAAAAAAAAATTTTTATTTTATAAAATTAATTGAAAAAGCGACTTTATATAAGTAAATCGAATTTATTTTAACTTTATAATCTTGATTAAAATATTAAATTTACTAGAGGATTCTGAATATATTAAGTAATTATTTGTCTACAGTACGTATTTTTCTGTGTATATTTTCAGAATTCGAAATTAATTCTTTTTCAAATGCAATTTTAGAGATTCACAATTATAGACTATTGACATTTAATGAACTTGGAGAACACTTTTTCAAGAAGTAAAATACTTCAGCGAGGTGACGGAGTTATTTGTGTCACGGTTTTCTGTTGGATTAATTATAGTTGACGTTATAAAACTTTAGAAACTTTAGACTTCGCGCAATCTATGCTTCATTCAAATCCCCACAATAGCTCTAATTTACAGCTACTAAAACACTACTAAAAACACGAACACATCGATTCAAAAACACATCCTTAATTTTAAGAATTACAACAAACGGTAATACGCGAGACACGATAAGCACAATACAAGAAACGTGACGAGCACATGGAATACGCGAAATATGGAATATCTAATTTTTTCAGAATGACGCATATAATCTTTAGAAAAAGTTGTATGTGCTAATAGTAATATCCCTTACCAATATTTTTAATAAATAAATCAAATTCGAACAATTAATGTAAATTAATGTACATACAGTAATAAATTAAGATTTATCTTTCAAATATTTACTGCAAAAATAATTTAATGAAGTCGGAGTCGCGTCGAGAGTTGTAATAGCCAAAAAGTTGTGTTGTATCTCGTTCTGTAGAAGTTGTGCGCTATCTTGATTAAAAGTTCTCAAAAGAACCAAGCTTTTCTTTGCATCGTGTAGGAAGAATAGCATATACTGTAAAAGCTAAATCAAACTTTATGTATTACATACTGAGAAAATAGCGCTTAATCCAAGAGAGAACTGGGACACTTTTATTGAGAAATGTCGACATTACTATATTATGCGTTGTGTAAAAAGTTTTAATCGAACAATTCTGTCGTAATAGAGACAGTAGGATTTAAGTTTTTTTAAATACGGATAGAAAGTCTAATCAGTACCATCTTAAATCTTATCTTATAAGACCCACTAATTCGATTTAAGCAACTTCGCTTTTATTACACGCTTGAAATTTTCATGAATTGACAAACTTTCGAGAATACCCTTTTTATTTAGTGATGTAGATCTGCTTCGTGAACAGGAATGAACGAACCACTAGTGTGGTATACATGTACTTCATTAAAGATATTTATATACTCATAGATAATAAAAATAAAATTACGTAACTTTTCGTATATACATATATAATCATATTCATATCTATTAAATCAATTATCGTCAACAATTAATAAAATTGATATATCAGAAGATAGAAGAGAGTAATTGACATATCAATAATTTGATAAGATAAATCTAATAAATTTGATACGTATTCGTATAACGATCGTGATGTTATCAAAAACAATTCTTCAAAAATGGGATATACAAAATATTGCACCACCAGTATTTTAATCTTGTTAAATCTTGTTAAATCTTGTTAAATGATCAAAATGACCCGTCGAAAAACATTGTTTAAATTATTAAAAGCTCCTACGTCGCTAAAGAAGATAAATACTTTACATTTACGTTATAGACAATTACGTTGTTGAGAATTATATATGTACGTATTATAGTAATGTATATAAATTAAGATTAATATTGTATTAATTCACTTATAAATCCTAATGCACGACCAATTTACATCTTTCAGTTACGCCGGAGAGCATAATCATACCTATCGTATCCTGCATTCTGGGATTTCCGCTGTTAGCATTAATGGTAATTTGCTGTTTACGAAGGAGAGCAAAACTCGCCAGGGAACGGGCTCGACGAAGAAACTGTGATTTGGATCATGGCGCATTGAGCCTCGTCCGTTTCAGCCCGGTTCATCGCCTAGGTGAGCACCCACCGAGTTTAAAAGTAAAACTAGGACACGCGCTTACGCGGAACAGATATTCGCTGTGTGAATAGAAACACTGAATAGAAACCAAATCGCTCGTGCAAAATTAAATGTGACGCTAACCAAGCGGATAGTACGTGCAAACCAGCGCTGCGAGAAAATTATTAGAGATATAATATATTTTTTTATGTGCGCGAAGCTCTCTTCAATATTTTTCAAATTAATTTCATAAACCGTATCCAAAATATCCAAATAAAATAAATATATTTATATAAAATAAAATTATAAAATAATATGTATATTATATATTGACCATTGTGTCTATATAAAATAAGCAACAGTGCTGCAAATCAAGTTTATAATGGCATGATATTTATTTGGAGATTGTAATATTGCATTTATAGAGAAAAAGAGAAATGTGAAACACAACAGCGTTTGCTCCAATGTTTTCGTTAATGACGACTACATTGTTCTCTATCTCTCTCTTTCTCTCTACATATTTTTTCCTCGACTCTCTGACTGAATACAAACATACATAATATAATACCTATGCATAATACGTAAGTACTCTCTTGCAACGGCACATAAATGCACTCGTATAGAAATAATACCGTATATCGTACGAGACCATTGGAATAAACATAAAGAGGATAGAAGGGGCTCAACAGCAGATTGAATTCTGGCCTGAACATTCCAATTCCATGCACTAACGATGGATATTTTTAGTGTGAAACTATGATCGACGTACATATAGCCGATTATTTCTATTCAAAAGCAAATACTCGATAAATTCCCAGTTAAATCCTTCTCTCGCTCTTTTAGCACAAAGTAGACTAGACTGATGTTATAAATTATATCCCTCAAAAAAACATGTAAGAGAGATGTATGAAATATTATTTCTGATCTAAATCAAGGCAACAAATTATTTGTCAATATAAAAATTAAAATATATTAAAGTAAAATGCTATAAATGTATTAAAGTAAAATGCTATAAAATTCCATTCTTGAAGCTACACATGAAAATCACTGTGCTACGAAATTTTTACGATAAGCAGAAATAAATTTCTTATCCGGAAAACCGACACACGACATCGCAACCAAACGAATCTATCACGTCATAATATCAAAAATTGGATCTTATATCGTTCATTGATAATCCATTTCCGCGGAGTGCAACGCGATGGATAATATATGTGACACTCCGGAGCGCTATTTCTCTTGTAACCGTGCGACACTTTATCCGAACACGATTTCGTATGTGCAAATGCATTTCCGCGTGGTTGAGAATAACCATCAGGAATGGCCGCGTTATTATCTCGCCATTCTTGTTTTCGCATCTAAAATTCGCTTTAAATCGAAAAGTTTTTGTTATCTGGCATCCGGTACTGGCATCCGGTACTTTTTGCTGCGAGAGAACAGCGACGTAGCCGCAAATAAATGTCGTTTTTGCATAAAAGCATTTGCATCGTTAATATACCCACAACATCATTCATTTACATATTGCTTGCGGAAGTATCGATAAACAATCGATGTAATTCGATGAACTAATTTGTTGACGTTATTGACGTTATCAACTCTTTAAATCGTCTGCATAAATGCTATGACTTGTAAAAGTGATAGCATTACATCCATTGTATAAATTATTTTTAATTTAGAATTGTGATGGACAATTTGATATGTACATCAATATGAAAAAGGTAGAAAAACATGTTTCTTTTCACTTATAAATGAACGTATTATTTTAACGAAGAATATATTTAGTAAATAAATGCATAGTTAATAAAACTGCCTGAACATATAACATATAACATAATAATGTAATAATATTTTACAAACAATAATGCCAAATGTGTCAATAAGTATACCGAAATTTATAAATACAATGGAAGAACCTAGAATTGTCTGTATAATAAATACCTTTTTATAATTTTTATTACATAAATTGGTGTAAATTTATTTTTATTACTAGATATACTTGCAGATTGAGTTGCATTTTTAGAATTTTTCAACGTAATGTAGAGCTGAAGATAATAATATATTACTATTAATATTAGAAAAGAAACTTTTATAATATTATATAATGTAAAAAGGATAGAGTATTAAAAATAATAGGTGAATTTTTTTTCAACTGAATCTTCTTATAGTGAGGCTTTTTTAATATACATATCTTTATTTAGAATTTAACCTCTCTGTGCGTATTAGTTAGCGCAAAACAAAAAAATTTAAAGATGACGCGATCTACTTGAGTGCGGAAAGACAGATTTATTTCTTCACGTACTACTAATACGGTCTCTTCCAGCTAACGAAAAAGTTTTTTATGTCCCTGCGTGGACGATCTACGACGTAAGGTAGCCGTTGCAACCGCTACAAACTCTCAATTTACGACAATCCAGTCACCAACACTAGATAGTAGACGGTCGTTTTGTATCACTATTTAGTGCACACAGTAGACGAGACATAAAATTTACCGTCTGCAATGTTCTCTTCTAACAAAAGATTGTCTGCTAAAAAACAGAAGATAAATGCTTCATAAATATCATATGAGCATAATGTACAATTTAACTCTTACATTTTTCTAGTGACTATTAATTTTCAGAGATGAGTCATAGAAAAAAAAGATAAGTGATATATATATATATATTACTTATCTTTTCTTTCAAAAAATTTGCATGTAATGCTACCTGTAGATTTTTTGAAAACTTTAAATCTAATTTTTTCTTATCACAATTTAATCAAATAGCATGTATTTTCACACTATTTCATTTTTAATTTGATTTAATATCTATTTTAATGATTAAATGTTAAATAAATATTCAAATATTATGTATATAAAACTTTAGAGCGAAAAATAAGATTTTATTATATCTATTCATATCTTTGAAGCTTACTTTGCATAAGAATGACTGTTTTTATAATTGCTTAAAGTAATTTAACAAATCCGGATTTCATTTTTGCGTTTATGTTAAAAGAAGTTTGCGCAAAGAATTAAAATCAGTTGAAAATTTATCGAAAATATCACATCATGAATATACATATTATTATCGTGACATGCGACATTTATTAATTATTTGTTTTCTCTCATTTAAATATCTTTCTGCAATTAAAATTTATTCTCCTAAATGAGAATACAATTATTACGTGCATCGAAACATACAAAAAATAAATAAAAAATTTTAACACAGAGAGGTTAAATCGATTTAATTAATTATTGTATCAGTAAACTCTCCCTAATTCTAAAGTTAAAGAGGATTAAATTTTACATACAGTGTAAGCTTAAATCAGTTATCTAAATATTTACTCTTTAAAAGTAACTTTTACTTTTTCATGTATATAAAGGAATGAATGTATTTATAGAATAAAATTATATGGTACAAAATAATCCGCACTGAAAGGTTTATTTGTGTTGGCAAGCACAGCATCGAGAGAGGATTTAGGTAAAATACAACGTAGTTAATAGCATCGCTCGATTCTTAGAAATTTGCTCGGATGTATAATTTACAGCAATTTCTTTAGCATTTGAAAAAAAAAAATATTTTTTATCTAATGTGCCAGCGCTTGTGACTTGTATAATGCCATAGGATAATCAAGTTAGAACGTAATTAGGTTTGTATAAGAATGAGATAATATTAATATTATTCAATACGTGATTTTTAGTAAAAATATTGGAATAGTCGACATATTAGGAAACTTTACTTATTTCCATTTTTATTTTATGAAAATGAGTTTGACGCAACGTTTTTTTATTCCTAGATTAGATAAAAAAAATAAAATTGAAGCTAAATATTAGATTGCATGGTTCGTTTGTACGTATAGTATAATTAGTTTAGCCAATTAGGAATCTTAGAGATTCTTGTAGTTAATTTAAGTAGAAATTTTTAATCGAAAGTTTTGTCAATGGCAAATCAAATTTCCGCCAGTGAATATTCTTCGAATTTCAATAATCGCAAGCAGAGCAAAAAAAAACGAATAAAAAGGAAGAAAATATTTTAATTTGTTTCGTATTAAACACAGTCTTGTCTTTAATCGTCATATATAGATAATAAGTTTTGATATTCTTAAATTGTTAAAACTTGCAACTTTGATAGCGAATGTGTTCAAACAAAAGTTAATGATATCAACATTTTTTTAGTAATACGACTTACATGTTATCGGCATTTTCGCAGCTGGCATTGATCGACCGGCACGTACCGTGTCCTTAAGAGGTGATAGAGGATCCCGAGCCTTCTCATCCCTGGAGTTGGACACCGTCGTCGAGGAGCGTTCAGATCCCGAGCAGAGCACCGCTCTCGAATTAAGTAGTCCTGACTAGCATCCGGCTTTGGCACCGTCGAGGTAATAACGATGAGATACGTTGAAATTATCCCGCCTCATTCATAAATTCTCATAAAAATATTGCTAATTACACAATACGAATTTCTAACTTCAAATCAGTATTTTCTTCAAGAAATGCAGTTTTAAAATTAATAAAAAAGAAATATCTCATCTACGAACGGCTGTAGAGAAAATAATTACATCGAATAAAAAGTTTGTACGGTGAAACTTTAAGCATTAATAACTATGTACGAACTCCATCCGATTTGCGGATTAAGCAACTAATACTTTGTTAATACCATAAAATAAAAATGATACTTGTTCGCTAATTAACAATAACGCGACGCGATCAGAATTATATTTTTTATAACAAATATATATGAGTGGCTGAAAGATTACAAGAAAATACGAACGTTGTATAAAGCTATGTTTCATTTTTAATTTATCTATTCTTTTCTATAATTCTCCTTTTCCCTCCGTTACAAATTGAATTTTTATTCGAATTATATGAATGATGAACGCGGAAGATGCTAGTTGGACAACAGCTACACCTAAAATCAGAATTAAAATATTAACAACTAAAATACAGTAAAATATAAGTTACAATTACAATATCATTGTTGACTGCTCTAGATTAGAACGTCTGTCCTTCCTTTTTTTGCGCCAAGAATTTTTCATATAACGATTTCTCATTTTTCTCCCTCATATTCATCCGTGATAAAAATTTCTGATTAACTTCGAATTGATATTTCTTTCACAAAAGCATCGTTTTAAAATGAATAAAAAATTATCTCACCTATGAGTCTTTATTCCGAAAGCAATCTCAATCGAGAAGCAATTTGAATAATGGCATAACAATTGCGCATGAGCTTTGAAAAATTCATGAATTATTTGTCGTAATCAACGAAAATCACGTTGCCTGCTAATTAACGGCCCTCAAGATGCAATTAAACTCGGTGTTTTTAAAAGAGAACGCAATCGAATAAAAAACAGTCCATGAGCGTCACACGAAACTACATTTACACTTTTTCTTTCTGTATTTCCGTCAGCAATATGAATTTATCTGCATTACGCGAATCGATTTAAGAGGAATGCGCTAATTGGTCGATGGTTAAACAGTAAGAAACAGTCAAAACACTGTAATGGCGTCAAAACGCTTTATGACTTTTTCTCCCTCGATCCTCTTCCATGATGTAAATTTTCTCAACAATATATGGAATAACTTTTTATTACATGTAATTAAATACGGACAATAGTCGCGTCGATCGAGAATAACAATTTGAATAGTGACGTCAGTTCTCTACCAATTGCGCGTAGCCTTTAAAAACTCGTTAGAGCCGACGAAAATCAAACAGCTCTCTAATTAGCAGCACCTGCAATGCAATTACAAACTTGATATTTCTCGAAGAGAACGCGTATAATTGAATAATAATTCGTGAAAACTCGAGCGCGCGTCACACGAAACTACATTTCTCTTATACTCTTATTTCTTGCTCTTCGTTTCGCTAGCAATCTGAATTTATCTGAATTACGCGAATAACGTAGGAGAAACGCGCTGATTGAACGACGCTTGTACTTAAGATAATTACAGTGGTGCCAAAATACTTAGGCATCTTTTTTTCTCCTCCTCTTTCCCATTCATTTTCGATGTCAAAAATAGGAATATTCCTCATCCATTCAATAAGAGCAACTCAAATAGAATATAGAAATCATAATAATATTCCAGGAAAAAATGTTTCATATATTATTATATATAATTATATAAAAAACTGACATATTTGATATATAATTATATATAATTACATATATAAAATATGTCCCTGTATAATAACATTTTTTCCCGGGATCACAAAGGCATTGTCATATATAATGATATTATTTGTCACTTATAAGTTCATTTTTAATTATCAAACGACATGATGACGTTCTGTATGATATCATTCTGTACGACTTAATTATGATTCTGTGTTCTGAGAATGAAAGTCAATGTATTTTTTTTTTTTTTTTTTTTTTACAAAAATACAATTCTAAAATTAATAAAGATTACTTTACCTACGAGCTTCGTGCCGAAGGGAATTGAGTTAGTCGAGGCTGATTCTATAATGGCCGCGAACAGCGAACTACATGCATTAATTGCGCCAACTTGCGTATACGAGTCTCAACCGATTGACGAAAGCGATTGATGCTTTATTAGATCGATTAGACGAAGATCGAACTAGCTATCACTAATGGTAACTGCAACGCGATCGGACTCGGATATTTCTCGAAAAAGATATCGAATAAAGATTGCGAAATTGGTCACCCGACACCGCGTCTTCCCCGTCTTTCACCCGTTTCTTCCTTCTTCCTTCCGTTAGCAATCTGAACTTATCTGAGTTACGCGACTCGTAAGAGAAACGCGCTGATTGGACGACGCTGGTATTAGTACCTAATAAAATAATTACGATAATATAATGACGCCAAAGTACTTTTTCTTTCCTCTTTCCTTTCCGACGTTGTAAATATTCTCGAAACCGAGATGATTTTTTGTTCCTCGTTCGTATTTATTTAATGAGGGCAATAAGTCTGTAATTTTCATTTATAACAAGAATATGGCCAAATTAATACCAGAATTAATAGAATAAGATATCTCACCTTAGAGCTTTGTCGATCGGATTGCTTCTGCCGAAAGCAATCGTATTAATCGCGGATTGAACGGAGCTATATACATTAGCTATATACATTAGCAATTGCCCTAACTACAAACCTTAATCGATTCGATCGATGCTTCGTTAAAATGAACAAAAATCGGACTAGACTGCGATTTAACAGGAAAACGACATGCTCGGACTCGATTTCCGTTAAAACAACGCGTTCGATCGGACCAAAAAATCACGACAAACCGCGATCGTCATATCACTCACTTCTGCCAACGTAATTTTCGTTTAGCACGTAACGTACATATTACGTGCAAGCATGCTGATTGGTCGATCAAGCAATTGCGATATTTACAGTTCAAATATTGGAAAGGGCGCAATTTTCGATTCAAATTATTCAGTAATGTTCACTTCTGCCAACGTAGCTTAACTTTAATTTCGATTTAACTTACTCATTATTTTTTTTCTAGTTCTAAGAATTAGGAAAAGATAATCAAAATTAAAGTTAATCTATACTGGTAGAAATGAACATTATACATGGATAAAATAAATTAAAATTCTTTAGAATAGGATTCCTTTACTGAATAAAAAATATCGATATATGCTAATTTCTACCACCTATCTACTCTCCTCACAAATATTCATTAAATCTGACAATTTTATAACTGATATGAAATATTGATGATATTTTCAATTTACATTTTGTTAATGAAATTTTCTTGTCAAGAGCATGTATAAGAACATAATAGAATATCATATAAAACAAGAGCGTAAAATGTATATACAAAGTAAAAAATAAAAAATAACTAAATTTAAGAATAAAGTAAACTGATTGACCAATACATCAATTGTTTGTACAGATGTTTATGAGATTGAAGTGATCATGAGAGTAATTTGATCATTTCAGATTATTAAAAAATCAAGACTAATCTAATGTCTCCATACTGTGTTGAAATCATCTGACCGCTCAAAATTATGATTTATTAGAAAATCAAAACAAATTTAATGTCTCCATGCTATGTTAAAGTCATCTGAATATTCGAGATTATGACTTGTAAAAACTAAGGACTTGTCCAAACTAATTAAAGTCTTCGTAAAGTGTTAGTGTGTTTTGCAGATATGGTTGCATTTATTGCATTTTTACAGGTCTCCACGACCATCGAAATCTTTGGCGGTGCCGTTGCCTGTGGATCATAGTCCGCTGTGGACAGCTTTGACACACGCTAATGCGGTCTCTGCGGCGTTAGGAGACACCTAGCAGGAGGTGGAAGACGGCAGCTATATCAAAAGTCTCGTCCTAGATCTGCCAATCATTTACTGACCGGCCTCTCTGAAAATGTCTCTTGGAGCATCGGAAGGAAGTTGGACATCTTTACTCAAGCACTACCATATCGCGATAATGACTGTGTGAAATATCAAAAAAATATACAATGCTTTTATGTCAAGAGAAGTAAATAATAAAACAAAATTTACAACAAAATGATGTTCGAAAAGTAGAGCATCGTATTCCTTTCGTGTGAATGTGCGCGTATGCATGTATATCGCAACTAACATTATGACCAACGTGAAATTTTGTACTATTTGCTCGTAATATTTGCGAGTAGAGCTTTTTACACGATAGTTAAAATCTAAAATGTACGCGGTCACTGTAGGAAGTAGCTGGTCTACAATACTAATATATCAGTGTAAATACAGATTTTTAATTAATGTACAAACGAAATTACATGAATAAAGTTATTATTCGTGACTGTATTATATGAAGATTGATACTGTACAATCGTCGTTCAATGTACGCTTTTATGAACATCCAACTATTCTATTAAATAAAAAATATAACATGACATATCTGCCTTCCTATATCAGATTGATGATTTTCGACAGTCCAGGATACGTAATAATATAAATTTTACAAAGTCAATTGTAAAATTAAGTCAATTTGCAATTATAGCTATGTAAATAATCGACGGTTAGAATCCGGGTATTATGCGTCCTTTTTTTGCTGCCTTTTTCAATTTATTCTGTTTCTTTTCCTTCTTCTTTTTCATAATATTTTCTCGTCGCTTTTCTTGCCTTTCCTGCATAGATTTCTGTACGTTCTCTATCCTGGAATTCCATTTATTTGCGCTGTGTTTCTTTTTCTGTTCGTTCCGTTTTATAGTACGTTTCAGCAAATCGGGATCATCTTTAATCTGTCAAATATAATATAAAGTCAAGTATAATATAAATGTATTGAAAACATAGAAAACATTTATATATGAAAAACAAACAATGATAAATTCGCAATATATATTACAATATAAAAAGAATTAGCTAATACAAAAAATAAGATATTTATAAAATAAAATCAATTATTTATTTTGTTAGATATTGCGATATTAAAAAAGAAATTTTTCATGTATATATATATAATATATATATATATATATATTAGGTGTTGGAATTAATTCGTAGCGTTTTTTAATGATGCTTTTGCCAATGCAGATTTCCATGCATCTTTCTCTCTAATGTCTTCAGCTTCTTCCTTATCTCCTAAATCTTCTAATTGCTTTAATTTTTCTTTTTTCTGCTGTACTTGTTGTAACATTTTTTTAGGGTCATTCTGACTCTTAGGTAATTTCTTCTTTACACCAATCTCGGAGAAGTCAAATTTGCTAAACACCATTTTACCTTCCGAATTGAAAACTGGTTTAGGTTTTGGCACTTTTGGTACTTCCTCATTTTCCGTCTTTATTTTACTCCCATCAACTGTATTTTGTTCTATCCTAGCAAGCTTTCTTTGTAATAAACGCTCTGCCTTCTTCGTCTTCTTCTTCACCTTAAGAAGTTTCTGTTTGTAATGCAACTTCTTTACACCCTTTAATTCTTCCAATTTTGCATGTAACTCTTTAAAGGACTGTGCTCTTTTAGTCTTCTTGCCTGGTATAGCAAAATTCTTCACTGCGATGGAAAATACAGTAAAAAATAAAGTCAGCAATAAAATTCATGGAGAATAAAAATTTCTTTTAGTAAATGGAAAAAATGCAAACTTTCTTGAAACAAAAAATATTATCATTAAAATAATTACATTGGTTGTTAATATGCTTATATATTACATATTAAAATAGAAATATAGATAGAATATCATTGGTTAGAATTAGATAGAGTAAATTCTGCAAGATTATTTTATACTTTCAAACAAACAAAGAGATAATACCTTTTTTTGTAGGCTCTTCTTCCTTCGTTGAATTATTTTTTTCAGCTAAATAAAAATATAAAAGATATCCATTTAATTGTTTTAAAAAAAACCTTTACATATTTTAGAAATTATATTACTCAATGAAAAATTATATCCACCTAATTCATGCGTCACGGGCATTATAGATAATATATGTGAAATAAATTGTTCCTCTTTCTGGAGCATTTTACGAATTTCGTCTTTATTAAATCCTTTCGACATTGTTAACTGCATCTTCTTCCCAAAACTCACGTGTACTTAATCATGTAAATAACTATGATATAGGTTATGTTACCCAACGTTACCAACCTTGAATATGAAAATAAAATAGATTTAAGATTCGCATTGTTATATTTTTCTATGAACGTTAAAAATAAAATTAAAAACAGAAATAGAATCTTTTTTGATTTTTTATCAATTCTTTTATTTTACGTTTTGTAAATTAAGAAAATATTTCTTTCAAAATTTTACATATAAATTTTACATTTTGGGTTTTTATATATAAATCCTTTTGTTATGAATTTCTTTTATTCTTCTCTTTTCTCTTATATTCGCTATACGAATTTATATTTCTTGACATTCTGATTTTGTGCAAGAAACGCAACATCGGAATTGATGATGAATAAAAAAATCAAGGATATAGCACAACACATACATATGTCTCTCTCTCTCTCTCTCTCTCTCTCTCTCTCTTATTACACATTCTATAAATGAAAGGAAGAAGAAATAAAAGAAAAAAAAGTCAAAACACTCAGCATGCAAATTTTTACTATTAAAAATTATACATATCCTTATAAAATTATGTATTAATTTTGAAATCATTTGCATACTCCTCTTTAGTTTATTACCAAAATCAACTTTTATGATATACTGATATATGTATTATTGTATATATCAAAAATTATTTTAATGCTTTTTTAAGCTTTCATGGCTGTTATCTTTAAAGAGAATTTGCGGGTTATCGCTGTGTTTTTTATTCATTACTAATGCCGTGAAACTTGCCATTCACTTTATCAGTTGCGCTCCTCATCTTAATCGAATGAAGTTCTGATGAAGTATTTTAATATAAATCAGATAACTTAATTATATAAAAATATTGATGACAATATTAATAGCAAAAGAGAAGCTTATAATAATTCGATATAAGAAAAAAACAAAATTACGTAAACGCTTCATTTATCAAACGTGATTCTCGTAAAACAATAAGGTTTTTTCCAAATAAATCAAAATTATCAAATTCTTCTTCAACAGCTATCGCATCTTGTACAGTTTTAAAATAAATGTGACAATATCGTATATTAGTTTTCGAAATCGTCTTTACAACCGTCGCTGAAACTGGACTAAATTTCTCAAATAAATGTAAAATGTAATGTACACCATAATTTTGATGAATATTAGCAACAATTATATCTTGCATTGGGATGTACACAATTTTAGATGAATTTGTAGTCTTGTTTAATGTGGATGTCACATCAAATTCTTTCGGCTTCATTTTTGCATCAGAAACTAATATTGGCATTTTCTGATCATGTATGCCAAATCGCCTATTTTTATCGATTTTGCTATCTGTCTCAGTCTTCATTGAAGAATATAATTTAGTATCTTCTTGCTTTTTTCTCATTACTTGATTATAATCTTCATTATTAATGGGATTTTGTTTTGGAAATGAATATGTTTCATCAAATGTTTGAAAACCTGCATTCTTCTGTTTAATTTCATCTGCATTATATTTATAGTCATGTCCTGAATTGCGAGCAGTATCTAAAAAATTGTTTCCTTGGAATTTATTCGAATCAAAATTTCTTGAACTGTAAAATGGTTTGCCTCTATATTCCGACAATTTTTCCTGTTTATTATCCTCATGATGAGTAGAATTTGAATCAAATTGTTCATCAGTGCTAAACATCTTTTGCGAAATATCTTCCATCTTTGCTGCCTGCCATTGATTCGAACTGTTTTGATTAGTTGCTTTTGCTTCGCTTCCCAATTTATCTTTTTGTGGTAACAATGATATCTGACTATCATTTTGAAGACCTTTTAAACAATTTATCACTTCATCTAATGTTTTATAATTTATGATTTTCAATCCATTGGAACCACCTCCTTCATATATGGATACAACAGTTCCATAAGATGAAAACGTATCTTTTATATATTCTGAGGATAGTCCTTTCTTATTTGCAAAATGTACACTAAAACCTCCATCTTTTGTTGTCCTATAATACTTTTCATAATCCATTGTAACTGAAGAATTATTCTCCTTGGAAGTTTGTCTTGAAAACAATGAAGATTTTTCATCGAATACTGATGAATTTTCTTTAGTTACATTTGAAATAAATTTATGATTATATATAGAGTTTTGAGAAGTATTTAAAATGTCACTAGATCCATTATTTTCATTGAAAATTTTATGAGTGCTGTTTCCTCCATTATTTGACAAGTTTTCACTATTGAAATCTTTTCTATTCGTTTTTCTATCCTTTATTTTACTTCTTTCTAACAATAACTGTATCTTACTATCTTGTAAACCTTTTATACAAGCTATTGTTTCATCTAAGGATCCATATTTAATAAATCTAAATCCAGTTTCATCCTTAGTAACATTTACACCTAAAACATTTCCATAAATTGAAAATATTTGCTTTATCTCATATACAGTGAGCTTGTCTTTGTTCAAAAAATGTAGATTGTAAACCCCTTCTGGATCTTCTTTAATGTACTTATCGAAATCCATGATATCGAATAACAGATTTATCAATGATGCTTCTTCAGAACTCTTTTAGTTCTAAGATTGAGTTAAAGTTAGGTTGAGAGATTAAGCAACATAAATTACAAGTAAATCCATTCAAATTCAGCTAAATTTTCAGTCTTTTAATGCTTGACGTATAGTTATGTCTTGTATAGTTTTTTCATCTAAAATAATTTTAATAAAATTAGCATTAAGACACCCTGGTAAAAATTTTTCTCAGAATTTTTCATATAATGTTTCAGAATTTCTAATTATAATTTTATAGCTTTCTCACATATTTTATTGAAAAATTCTGAGAAAAGATATAGATTTTCAGAGAAATGTTTCAATTCGTATAAAAATTATAAGAGAAATTTTTATCAAGAAATAGAGCCTCTTTTTATGTTATTATCTAATAAATAAACAATTCTCACCTGATGTTACAAAATATAGCTTTGTTTTTCATAAATAATACAGCATATATTTCTGGCCAATATATGGAACAAGCAGAATCCCTAAGATCGTGCAAAAAACTATTCCAAATTATTAGTTGCTAAACAAGCATGTGTTGCACGTGTACCTAATCAGGAATTTTGCCAGTTAGAAATTTATTATACATTTGAGACGAGATCTTTCCTGTTGTTTTATATCATCATAATACATGTATGTAAACACTTCATTCCCACAAATATCAACAATCGAGAAGATTATATGTTTAACTAATAATTAATTACAAAAAAATTGTGACCGACTATTCTTCCTTTTCCCAAAAAAAATGGTCCGGTCTCTCTCATTAGGTAAACAAGAGAACTAGGGTCGACAATAGACCGACTAGAAACTTCGATAATCACCAATCACCGACAATCATAGATCTAGAATGACCTAAGTGAAACTCTATGGATCCTTTCTTGATGAAGACAGGTAAGACCTTCGACTATATAAGTATGACTCGCCAGTAAAGCCGGTTCTACATTAGTTGCAAGTCGATTGCAAGTTTGTTGCGACAGCCAATCTGAAGCTTGCATTTTGAAATCAACACTTCACATTGTCGCAACAAACTTGTGATCGGCTTGCAACTAATGTAGACCAGCTTAAGGTGCATATCCTGCAATCAATCAAAAGTGTTCCCAAATGTACTGGTTTATGATTAGTCACAATGCGCAAAATTCAAATCGACTATTTTAATCATATCAATAATAGCTAAATTGTTTATTTAATATAGATATTGTCATAATCTATTGGTTAAGCCTTTTTAGTTTAGTTTTGAAAACTATAAATTATATTGGGTCATCTAAAAAGTATCCGCGGTTTTTTGTCACTAGATAGTGTTAATGGTCAACACATCTAATGACAAAAAATCGCGGATACTTTTTAGATGACCCAATATGAAATCCATCAATTATCCATTAAGCAGCCATTTTAGTGCGTAGAAATAATTTTATCATGGACTGCTAATCACATGATTGCAATGACCAATCAGAACACTTAACACTAGTCGCGCTTCTCTTATAAATCTATGGCCGGAATCCATAATTTGTTTTTAGGGTAAAATCACACAGTGCGGAAAAAGGCTGCGAAATAAGGAATGCGCCATTGAAACAACCAATTAGGCTATTCGGAATAAAGCAGAATAACCGGCAGAATAATCGGCCGATTAAGTTAATCTCAAATGAAAAACCGGTTTTATATTAATTGTTTAAATATGACTACTTAGTTAATTATGACTACTTTTACATGACACGCTTATGCTCATTTCTACCAACGTAGATTAACTTTAATCTCGGTTCAACTTACTCTTTGTCTTCTTCTAATCTTTAGAATTAGAAAAAGACGAAGAGTGAGTTGAACCGAGATTAAAGTTAATCTACATTGGTGGAAATGGGCATTAGTCGGGTTTAATAACACTCGTATAGTTATGAAATTGTCCAATCATAGCTGTTCCTCGGAAGAATGGAACGACTACGATTGGCTAGTTTTACAACTATGGATGTTATTAAACTCTATTAAGAGTGCCGTGTAAATGTAATCAATAATCGAGAGTTTTTAAATCTCTATATTTGATTAAAAAGTAATTTCAACAATTTCAATATATATACAGGGTTGGCCATATTCGACGGAAAGACCTTGAACCCTATTAAATGATTTTTAAAATGAACAGCAAAAAATGTGTTTTTTTCCCATGATTGAAAAAAAACATCTTTCCGTCGAATATGGCCTGTATTTATTTTTTCAACATATATATATATATAAATTAAACATCTTATATATAGATACAATCTAAATTAAAGTATTTTAATCTTAAATGTTCAATTGTTATTTGATCTAAAAATTAATAAATATTAACTCGAATAATATAAAAAGCACTGTTTTCGTAAATTTAAGGCGGAAAGATCAATTACAAATAATTCGTGCGATTATTATACTCAGAATCGCGAGTTCAAAAATCGGTCTCGGTGATATGCGCCATGCCGCCTATGCCATTCTACGCCATGCCATACCACGCGGTTGATTTACGTTTCCCGCTTCTCAGTCATGGTCGCCCCTGGTGGGCGGCCATCTTGCGCGTACGGAGACTGCGCACTAGCGCGCCATCGTAATTTACGACTCTCTCGCGCACACGATCTTCTCTCGTTTGCTCTCGTTCCAACAGCAGGTTATTGTGTGAGGTACGTCATCGCGATCCGTGAGTATCCGCGGACCTTTCCTCGACTCAGCGTGTCGCTCGGCAACAGCGAGAAACGTGACCGCCGTAACCGGGAACGTCGCGTGCGCAAAAAGAACAGCACGACCGTCACGGAGGGAGAGAGAGATAGTGGGCGGAGTTTACGTTTGTGTATGGTGTGAAGTTTGCAACGGAGACGCGCGTTTGTTTCGGAGTCGAGAACGACGCGTCCTCGGGAGATCGCCGTTCCCCAAAGAACGTCGATCGCACGTCAGCGTGGAGGAGGTTATGAGATCGGGAGTACAGTCACCGTGAGGTCGGACAGCCGTAAATAACGTGGATGCGCACGCGGATAACGACGGATCATCACGAGCGAGCGCGAGGAAGGAAGAGGGACCGTGACGCGGCGGCCGGTGCGGGAGGCAAATGCATGGGACGCTCTGATTGGCCGCGGCGGCTGCTATGGCCGCCGATTGGCGTATCGCACGCATATACCCGAGGGCACAGTACGGACGCGCACCTACACCCGCGAACCGCGTAGCAGTCGCTCGAGCGACCGAGGACAGTGAGAAGAGCGACGGAAACGGTCGGTCCGCGCGCGTC